AGAAGACAGCGAGCCCTCTGCTCCTGGCGGAGATGCAGGGCGGGTGATCTTTGTGTTGGCATGGGTCTCTCCACTGGCTGTCACCTCTGCTCTGGGTGGGCCCAGTTGCTGCTGCTGCTGTCATTGCTCAAGGGCGCCCTGCTGCCCACCTCACCTCCCTACTCCTCTCCTTCCTAGGAACCTACCTGGTTCTTGTCCAGCTCACAGTTCTTGTACTCCTGCTCCCCCTGCTCCTGGAAGGTCACGATGACAAAGCCCACGAAGATGTTCATCATGAAGAAGGCAATGATGATGATGTAGATGATGAAGAAGATGGAGATCTCCACGCGGTAGTTGTAGATGGGACCCTTGTCTTCCGTGTGCGAGTCGATGGAGCGGTACAGCAGCCTGGAGGAGGAGACAGGCCCCACAGGGGAACTGGAGAAGCAGTGCCATCTCCCCAGGATGATGGCACCTCTGCTCCTGGGCGGGGGTGGGGTAGTCCCCCAGAGGCAGGGGTGCTGGAGACAACACTAAGCTGGGAGCCAGAAGACCTGGGTTCAAGGCCCAGGCTTGTACCTCGTTGGCCACATGACCCTGAGCTAATCATCAGCCGTTTTGAGTCTTTGATGTTTCCTCTGGAAAATGGAGCTCCGGACTTTGCTACCTTTCAGGGCAGTTGATAACACAGCATATGTAGGAGTTTAGAAACCGTCAAGAATGATGTAAAAGCAACCTGAGTCATGGATATTGGTTTCAAATATTGATAACATCAGGAAATATTAAATAGCTTTGTAGACTGGCATGGATTCAGAGGAGGTTAGGGTGCACATAAAATAAATCTCTGTGAGAGCAAATATTACTGCCCAAAAGGACACTCCCAGGACCCCCACGCTCCTACAGAGCATAGACGGTGGCTTGGCTTTATACTCAGGTTGGCACAAGTGTGCTACTCATGGAAGCCTGGGCAATGTGCCCATCACACCTGGTCCCCTTTTCCTGTGGGGATGATGGCCTCCACTTCCTTTGTCACTCTCCACAGTCCTAGCACTTCTTGCGTGTCATCTCTCTTTCACCCCGTAGGCCCACGCGCCACCGCTGCCGAGAGGGGTGACCCAGACTGGGCCGTGTCACCTGGCGCGAAAGCATTGCCCTGCAGAGGCATGCAGACCTGGGCTTCCATCGGCTTCTTTCTGCTCCTCTGCAAAGACGGACAAGGCTCTGTCTCGAGACTGGGGTGGAGTTTAACTCAACAGAGACTTCTCAGTCACATCTCTCCACCGAGTGCACACTGGGTGTGTTAACCTTGAATCTTGGGGTGACCAAGGGCCCCACCCGTGGAACACACTGCCCACACCCTACTCTGAAGATGCCATGTGGGGAACGGCAGGGGCCCCTCTTACTATGGCACAGGCCAGGGGTGGGTGGGTGGGGGAAGGCAACCGAAAATCTGTTTGGTTAGGAGTTTCCAACATGTCGCCATCTTCGAGAAAAGGAAGAATCAATGTTTCAACCATGACCATGGGCTCTCTGTACAGGTTGTTCTAGAAGCATATCCACGTTGCCTTGGGAGGACACGGGGGTGACCTCTGGTTCAGAGTGAGGGGCAGTAACAGAACCCGGGGAATGGGTGTGCGCCCCATGACTCAGGTGCGGTGAGGCCTCATTGCATACTCACTCTGGCCACCCCTCAAACGTGGAGACAGTGAACAGGGCCATCATGGCCGCCAGAACGTTGTCGAAGTCGAACTTGCTATTCTCCCAGCTTCGGGGCTGGATGATGGGGTGGTCAACCTCCCCGTCCTTGTACGTGATGTAGTTCCCCCTGAGAGAGGAGAGAGAGTTTGTTCTGGGGCGTCCTCCCCCTCTTCTTCCGTCACGTCTAGCTCAACAGTGACTCCCAGCATGGTGGGTAATGGCATAGGCTCAGGTCAACCCCACCATTGCAGCCTTGAGGAAGAGCTTTGTGGGGAGAACCTTCAGGAGCAGATGCGATGAAACGCCACAGCCAAGGGTACCAGATTGCACAGGGGGGAAGTCAGGCTGCCGTGGCTGTTTGAGGACGCACTGGGCCCTCCTGCCTCTCACCCCGCGTCCCCAGCCTCCCAGAGTTAAGCAGCCGTGGGCGCTGGCTGCCCTCAGTCTGTACTCACTTGCACTCCGCCTCGGTCTGCTTGGAACTGTCTGAACAGGTGTAGAGTTTTCCCTGGAAGACAGCAGGACAAAGTGACTGGAGAGGTCCAGTACTCGAGGAATCCCTCAAATAGCCACCAGTGAGTACCCCCGAGGGGGGTTTCCGAAAGTTCATGGGAAACACAGATTTGAAAGACCCTCTGAGGAGTCCCTTGTATCTAGCACAGCCGGGCGCTTAGGATTTCAGGAGAAAACGGCTTAAGGAGCGCAGACTCTGGTTGGGGGAGACATGACCCCGTACACCAAGCAGTCCAGGGAGGAAGACCCTCAGGGCTGTACGTGCCACGGACAGCTGGGGTCCCTAAGAAGGGCTTGTGAGGAAGGTGTCCAAGGAGCTGGCTCGGAGGGAGGGGTGGACTGCGCGGGAAGAGAGAGGTCTGTTGAGGTTACATGGAGGGGCGTGCGGTGGGTGTGCAGAGAGCAGAACTTGAAAGTCGAAACCCAGGAGACTGGTGGCCCCGGGGAGCCAAAGGGCCTGGTGAGGAAGCAGGGGGAGATGAAGCAGTCAGCTGGGTGCAGCAGTGCAGCTGCTGCAGATTGGAGGTTTCAGAGCTTGGAAACCTCTCTGCCCTTCTTGCTAGAAGGAACGCAAGGACCTAGAGGGCAAAGCGGATCAGAGAAGGGGAGGGGCCTTTGGCCCCCGGGGGGGAGGGGGGACAAAGCCTCCTTCCAGACTATTTTCTCCCCTGTCTGGAAGCCGAGTGAAGGGCTCTAGTCGAGGCTATCCTGCGTTATCGGTGGTAGCTCCGGTTCATTTCAGGTTTTCTTTGTACAGCTGAACTATGTCCCCCAAACAGAGATGTTGAAGTCCTAAGCCTGCGCTAGAGAAGGTGACTTGCTAAGAGAGACAGATGTTATCAGTAACAATGAGCTCTTCTGAACGTCAATTCAGAGAAGACAGGGCAGCCGTGGCAACAGACCCATGTGCAGGGGGATGTCAGATACCGTGGAACAAGAGAGAAGCAGGTGAGTCTGTCTACCAGTAGCAAAGGGACTGCAGGCAGTCCCCGAATCTAAGAGGGAGTCACGGAATCGTTCCTCTCTCAACATTCGCAGAAGGAACCATGGGGACCGACACCCTGATTGGACATCTGTCCCCCAGAACTGCAAGCCAATCAATTCCCATTCTTTCAGGCCACCCTCTTGCTGGGGTTTTGGTCCTGCAGCCTTAGGGAACCAAGATGCCTTCCCTGGGAGTGCTGATGGGAGGGGGTGAGGGAGGGCCAGGATTTTACCTTGAAGAGCTGGACCCCGATGCAGGCGAACATGAACTGCAGCAGTGTGGTGACGATGACGATGTTGCCGATGGTCCGGATGGCGACAAACACACACTGGACCACGTGCTGCAGCGGGAAGCGGGTGGGGGAGGGGGCCAAGGCTTCAGGAGGTGCCTGCAGCCTCAGACTCCCTGGCCAAGTCAGGAGCCTCTCAGGGCAGGCAGCTCCTTAGTCAATGTGGGAGGAGTCAGGCTCCAAAAGGGAGCAAGGAGCTTCCCAGAGACATGTGATGGAAGCCAATGGAAGGCAGAGGCCCCCACTGGACTCTAGGTGACAACAGGGATAAAGAAAGCGTCCTGGTAACATCCCATTGGAATAGCAGGGGTAGAGGAACAACTTCTCTAGCCAATGCAGGGCATTAAGTTTGCGTGGGTGTCTTCTCCGGGAAAACTGGGAGCTTCCATTCTGCCATGATTCGGTTCAGCCAGGACCCAGGACTTGAGTGGGGCCTGAGGTAGGCAGGGAGGGTCCGGACTCCGGCCTATGTCTCTTCCCTCCCCTCCTCCCGCTCACTTCTGCTGAGTTGCCACCAACTAGTGACCAGCTGATGGCTGTCGGCCCTGTGAGTTGCTCCCTGTCCAGGCCTACGTCCACCTGTCTCTCACCTTTAGCCCCTTGGCCCTGTTGATGGCCCTCAGGGGCCTGAGTACTCGAAGGACTCGCAGGATCTTCACAACGTTGATGGCACTGGACCTGGGAAAGAAAAGGCTGGGTTGTAAGCCTTTCCAGGTTAGGGTGGAGCAGGAAAGAGAGGGCGAATGAATCCCCTGCAGGGGCTACTCATGAGCAACGGCAACGTCTGTCTGCCAGGTGACTTTCCCTTCTGGAACCAGCCCCGCCTCCTATGCCATCCCCCACCTTGCAAGAACCCAGAGCTTGCTGTGGTGCCGGGCCTTTCCTCTTGGTGGGTAAATCACACCGACTCACAGTGACCCTCTGCGTTTCTGAGACTAAATCTTTCTGGGAGGAGAAAGCCTCATCTTTCTCCCACAGGGTAGGTGGTGGTTTTGAACTGTTCACGTTGGGTGACCTGCCAACACATAAGGCACTGTGCCACCAGGGCTCCTAAAGAATAATATAACCGAGAAAGCAAACGCGCTGCCATCGAGCAGACCCTGACTCATGGAGACCCTAGAGGGCGGGGTCGAACTGTCCCGCGGGTTTCTGAGACTCTGACTCTTGACAGGAGTAGAAAGCCCCATCTTTCTCCCATGGAGCAGCTGGCGGTTTCAAACTGCTGACCTTGAGGTTAACAGCCCAACTCGTAACCACTACATCACCAGGGCTCCAAAGAATGAAATACTGATAGCGAATTCAGGTCTTGGGGCTGGCAGGTGGTGGGTGTTGGGGGTGGGGAGGCCATGAGGTATTAATAACTCACCATGAGGTACTGGCAATTTCATGAGCAACTCGGAAGATCTCTATGATTACCAAGGAGAGTTAGAGCAAGCCCCCCCCCCCCCCCCCCCCATTGAATTCAAACCCCAGCCTTGCCACTTCCCAGCCAAATCAATGAGGATCGATGTCCTAACTTTCCTGAGCCTTAGTTTCTCCCAGGACTCACCTCTGGAGACCACTGCAAGGACCACAGGAGAAAACGCATGAGCTCCAACTAGCGATATGTTTTGGCACAGATTCCGAGCCCAATAAATGGTAGCTTTTATTATGCTGGGGCCCTTGGGTGAGAGAAAAGGCGTCCTGGGGGTAGAGTGGGTTACGAGTTGGGCTGCTAACTGAGTGGCCAGCAGTTTGAACCCACTAGCCACTCTGTGGGAGAAGATGCGGCTGTCTGTCCCCATGAAGATGGACGGTCTTGGACACTCACAGGGAGCATTCTAATCGGTCCCACAGGGTTGGGACAATGAAATTGATTTGGCTTCGGCTGTGGGTGGTCCGAATGGTTAGCATGCCGAGGTTCTGCCAGTAGATTGCCTTGAAAGAAGGGCCTGGCGATCTACTTCCCAGTAACCAACCACGGAAAGAACAATGGAGGGGGTCTCTATATAGCAGGTTCCCCACAGCTGGGACGTCAGGGCCAAGTCAGAATTTCTGGGAGCTGTAGGTCATTGCTGTAGGTCTCTCTGTAGGGAAGGGGGCACTGGGAGGCAGTGCGTCCAGCGTCCACCTTGGAAAATGCTGGAATCCTTTCTGGAATTCTCTATCCTCCTTTGGGGAGGGGGCATCTTCATCATGCCAGGCGGGTGAGCAACCCTGCGGCTTGGGCCTGCCCGCACACACTGTGTGAGGGAGACACCCTCCCAAGCTTCTGGAGAGGCTTCGTCCTGCCTCGGGACCTTAAACATGCAGGGCACGTCGGCAAGGGCTGATGCTATGCCTCGCTTGGTCAGGAGGATGTGCTCAGGAGGGAGCTGGCGGAAAGATCTGGTTTCTCTGGCTCACGGCTCTTTTATTCCACAAGAATCAAAGGGCACTTCTATCTGTCACGGCATCTTATCCCAGTGGATCTCAGGGAGGGAGTCAGTTTGCACGGAATCACAATTGGAAAGGATTTAAAGGTCAGATGGGAAAAGCACAGACTAAAAGGGGGGGTGGGGGTGTTCTTGGTTCAAGGCTGGAGAGTGATTTATTAGTGGTGTTGGGATGAGAAACTCTAGACCTGCAGGTTCCCAGGCAGAAAGTTTGGGGTAATATAGCTGATGACCACAGAACAGTCTTACTCCCCAAACCCTCGTTTCCATCCCACCTGGTCAAAACATTCAAACCCACTGCTATCAAGTTGATTCCAACTCACTGCCACCCTATAGGTCAGGGTAGAACTGCCCCTATGGGTTTCTGAGGGTGCAAATCTTAGCGAACTAGAAAGCCTCATCTCTCTCCTGTGAAGCAGCTGGTGGTTTTGAACTACTGATCTTGCGGTTGGCAGCTCAACACATAACCATTATGCCACCAGGGCTCCCATAGTGACCCTCCAAACCAAACTCACGGCCATCGGGTCAATATGGACTCATAGCGACCTCCTATGGGTTTCTGAGACTGTAGCTGTTGATAGGAGTTAGGAAGCCCTTGGAGCTGCTGGTGGTTTCAAACTGCCGACCATGCGACCACAGCCCCACACGTAACCACTACACCTCCAGGGCTCCTCGTAGTGAGCCTAAGCTCACCACAACAAGACCCTTGGGAAGGGAGACCCATGACCCCTGGGACTTAAGTCATTCTGTTACTCGTATGACCTTGAGCCAGCCTTAGAGTGCCCTCAACCTCCATCTACACAACAGTGAGGACCACACTTGCCCACACTACACAGTCTACCTCAGAGGGTTTGTGTTTTTTTGGTATCGTTCCAACAAGAGCCTCTCTGTGAAAGGGCTTTGGAAGGTTAAGTGCAGGATTATCATTATCAGCTGTTGGAATTTAGAAGCAACCGGTAATCGGATCACTTTCAATCTGAGAAAGGTTTGCAATCTTAGCTGTACAGTGGAATTACCTGGAGAGCTTGGAAAAATTCCAAAGCCCAGACTGCGTTGAGACCAAAAAAAAAAAAAAAAAAATCTGGGGGTGTGATTTAGGGCAAATATGTATTTTAGAGATTCCACTGTGCAAACCAATTCCATGAGCAGACAGCACACACACACACACACACACACACACACACACACACACACACACACACACAGAGAGAGAGAGAGAGAGAGAGAGAGAGAGAGAGAGAGAGAGAAAACATTAGGTGCTTTGGGGGCAAAGAGGTGGAGGATGGACCAGAAGATCAGGATGGTTTGGCAGGCTCTTGACAGCAGTGGGCAATGGACACGTGTGAGTGGGGTGGGAGGACACTGGAGCCGTTCCTCTGTTCATAACCAATGTGGCCTGTTGGGTCCCCAAGCCCCCCACAAGCCACAACATGGAGGGCACAGACCCAGGGATCAGTCACCATGCTGTGTGACTTCAGAGCCCCGTTGCTACCACTGTCATGCCGTGGGTCCCCAGAACATGGTGGCCACTCCGACACACATTCCCAGCTGCGTGCCCCCCCACCTTGGGCCGAGGGAGTGCCTACTCACTGGATGCCAAAGGAGATGAGGGACACGCTGACCACCAGCAGGTCCAAGATGTTGAAGTAGTTCCGGCAGAAGGAGCCCTTGTGGAGGAAAGCCCCGTAGGCAGTCATCTGTAGGGAGACACGGACAGACATGGTGCGACTGGCCTGACCCCGAGCGCCAGAGACCTGCCCCCACCCCCTTCCTTCCCCAGCACCCCTGAGAAAGTCATGAGTACTCCCGATTCCTGTAAGGGGGGGCGGCACCCCCATCTGAGAATAATGAGGGAGGGGGTGGAGCAGAGGCAGCGCCAAATATGGAGCTATGGTGCCAAAAAAAGCGGCCACCGCAGATCCCTCCAGCTCAGGGTGGACAGTGGCTCCTGCCAGCCACCAGGCCACAGCAGCCTGGACTCCCCAGGCCTTATTCAAAATCTTTCCACACTGGGTCCCACTACCCCTAATTTCTCACCCTTTCTCTTCAGACTTTTATTTCCATAGCTCCAGCCCTGAAGACCCTCACCTAGTGGGGTTCCCTTTGACACAAATGCCTTCACTTTTTCCCCCAAATTCTGTTTACCCTCTGGGCCAGCTTAAGAAAACTAGGGAGTTGGTGGACAGTGAGGCATGCTCAGGAGGTGACTGCCTCCCCCATTTCGCACAGAATGTTCCTGGTTGCAGCAATGAAAATCCTGTCCTGCCAGAAACCCACGTCCCAAGCCAGCTGGGGGAGTTGGTCACCCTAATGCCTGGGCAAGACATTCTCTCAATAACTGTCAACTAGCATCAGTGGGGTGGGGTGCTGGCAACCTCACTGCCCCCCCCCCCCATCACGGCTGATGAGTCCAACAGGACCCCGGGGTTCCTGGAAGTGACTGAGCCAGCAGGCAGGGACAGGTGTCACTAAGGTTGATGTCACCTGTCACCCAGGGCAGTAGCTCACCACCAGGCTAGGGGTGTGTGTGTGTGTGGGGGGGGGGGCGCATAGAAGGTCTCTACTTTGGTCAATGAGATTGAGAGGAGATCCTGGGAGCCATGGGTAGGGTGGAGGGAGAGGGGAGGTTATGTGCTGCTAGGCACTCAGCCATGCTCTGTGTATGTGTGTGTGTGTGTTTCAACTAGTTCCACCCACGGGGGTTGGGATGCACCATGAGTGGTTGCCCCGGGCAATGGATGAGGACCACTGATGAGCATCCTCCGCCCTATGGTCTCAGAGAGCATCTATGACGTGTGCCACACATGCTGGGCACAATTCCCTGGTCTTGCTTCTAGCCTGCATGCCCTTTCAGGCCACAGGCTGGGTATGCTAGGCTGGACTGAAAGCCCAAACTCTGGATGCACTGGAACCCACCCTTATCATTTTGTGTGGCATGGGGCAAGTGCCATAACTTCTCTCTGCCTCGGTGTCTTCCTCCAAAAAACAGGCGCCAAGGCTCTCTCCCCAGAGGTTGTAAGTGCACCTATCAGTGTTCACTGGGGTCCACGAACGTGCACTTGGATTCTGAATTCTTCCCAAGGGAGGTGGAGTTGCCTTCTCCGACAAACAGAACCGGTGAGAAGCTCTACTCCATCGGGTTGTAAGTATCCACTGGATATTCAACACCGAACCCCATGCTGCGAACCCCATGCTGTGGCCAGTGAACTCCATAGGGAAGGCCAGCTGTCCCCGGCAGAGAACTGACCTGGGGGGTGGTGGGGGGATTACTTGGTGTTGAGTTCTTGTGGAAGAATGTACCACGGGACACTGCTCTCTGCCTCTCTGAGGCTCCTTAGAGAGAAACACAGCAAACGTCCTTTGACCGTGACCAGGGGCTATGAGGGTGGCGAGGACTAGGCTGCTTTTCCCTCCGGTGGCAGAGGTCAGCGTGGGTGCACTGTCGGTGACCAGTGCGCTGCCTTGAACGAAGAACCAGTGGAGTTCCAGGGTGGGGTCTGAAAAGGTCAGGGGCCACGGAGCGTCAGCCAAGGGGATGCATTTGGAGTGGATGGTCAAGGGGCCGGGAGGGTCCCCCTCAGGGGTCCCTTTCATCTCTCTGGAGTCAGCGCATGCCCAGGGCTGTGCATCCACAGAGCAATTCACAAGCAACACAGGGGAAATGGGGCAAAAATCACTCTTGACAACCGAATTCCTCCCATTTATCTCCTGCCGCAGGGGGCCGCAGGGGCTGCAGGCACCTGTGTTCTTCACTAGGTCTCAGAAGTGGGTGGGTTATATAAAGGGCTGCAGGGAATATCATTTGAGCTCTTTCTCTCAGGCCAGCCCTCTGGAGGGGCTTGCTGTCCCGCTCTCAACGAGGACCCGAGGCCCTAGACACCGGACCTGCGTGGCTCCCCTACAACTCTCCCAGCCATGGAGTCAATGCTGACTCATAGACACCCTATAGGCCGGAGTGGCACTGCTCCTGTGGGTGTCCGAGACTCTTTACGGGAGTGGAAAGCCCTATCTTTCTCCCCAGGGGCGGCTGGTGGTTTCGGACTGAGACCTGTGGTCAGCAGCCCAGGGCCTGAACCCAAGAGTCTTCCGTTCCTGCTGATGGCAGCTTGGTCCATCTTCTTGCGCGGTCTCCCTCGTGATCGGGAGAAAGTGCTGGCTCTCATCTCCCCTTGCTTCTGGCCTGGCCCTTCCGACCCACTTCTGAGCCGTGGCAGAGCCTCCCCCCTCGACGGGGAAAAGGAACCCCTTCACTAGGGGTACTCAGGGGGCTCAGAGAGCCACGTTCTTCTGACTTCGGACTCCTGTTTGGTCAGGAGGCCCCAGGCCGAGAGCAGCAAGTCTGTGTACGTGTGTGAGAGTGTGCGTGCGTCCCAGAACGGGGAGAGGAAGGACAGGTCTTGGGGGAGGGGCAAGCAGAGGCCGGAACACTGGATAACTTGGTGGAAAGGCCTCTGCATCGGGGCATGGGAGCAGCCAGAGCCCGTGATCTGAGTGGCCGAGTGCCAATCCCGTCACCTGCTTCCTCCAAGTCCCATGTTTGGACTCAGGAAAAGCCTATTTTTGCTGGACGGTGTCTTGGCCAAGGGAGGACAAAAGGGTGGGCACAAAAAGTCACAGTCTCTCTTAGCTAAAAGGGCAAGGGCCCCCCACCCCCTCTGGCCAGCTGCGGGCAACCCACCTCTCCAGGTGGCTGTCCCCACAGTGGGGCGGCTCTGGTTATTGAAAGCATCAGTGGGTCAGTCCCTGACGCACGGCCACCCCTGGCCTCCAAGGGGGGGTTGTTCCCTGGCTGATTTCAGAAGCAGATGGCCAGGCCTGTCTTCCTAGTCTGATTTAGCCTGGAAGTCCCACTGACAGCCGACCCACATCCTAGCAGCACAGTCTCCACAGCCTCCACAGAGGGTGCACTGGCCGTGAACGGAATGCAGGGTTTCCACAAAGAAGATGAGACTTCTACTCCCTCAAGTGACCACGCTCCTGGAAGTTCTACTGGGTGGCCCACCTCCTGTCTTCTGGGTGATGCCGGTCTGTGCCTGCTGCAGGTCAGTGCCTTGGGTCCTACATGCCCTTCCTTTGCAAAGGCCGACGTCCTCCCTCCCTTCCACTGTCCCTGACTCTCAGGGCCCCTCTGAAGCAGCCATCATTGTCTCTTGAGCCATGGCTCAACATGGGCCCTCTGGCTCAGACAGAGGGCCCCCCCCCACCCCCCCGAGGGTGGGTGGTGGGGACTGGAGTTTATCCTTGGGGGTGCAGAGGCAGAAGAGTGCACAGAAAAGGAAAAGCGCAGAAGGGGGGCAAGGTCTTGCCATAATCTTTCTCATGTTTCAGCTTGGGGGTGGGGGGCAATCTTGAAGGGAAAATAATAGCACCATTGAAATCCACCGGGGAAGGGGAAGCTCTGTGGTGGGGCTCGGAGCACGGCCCAAGAGCTTTTCTTTCGGACCCCTGTGTCTGGAGTGCAAGACAAACAGAGCCCCAGGACGGCGGGGGTGGTGGTGGGAAGGGGCCTCACAGTGTGAGCCCCCAGCCAGACACTGAATGCAGTCCGGTCTCTCTGAGCTCTCTGGTCCCCACCCGCAGGGAGCGGGCCTGGTCAGATCCACCCTCCCTGAGGATTAGAGAACAACCCGGGACCAGGGACAGAGGGAGGGGCAAGCACAAGGGAGCCCCTGACACAGCCCCACCCCAATCCAGCTGTGTCTGGCGGTGACAGGGCCTCCTGTGCACGTAAGGGGTGGCTCATGACGGAGGGACGGAGGAGTCTATCGGGCTGGAGCTCCGTGTGGATACCCAGCTCCCGACAGTCACTCACTGGGATGGGATGGGATTCGAAGGGCGCGGGGGTTCCTCTGGAGGAAAAGGCACTGACGTGGATGCAGCCACCCCAGGTTCAGGGTAGAATCTCCCTGCCTGCTCTGAGACAACACACGAGGACGCGTCACACCTTCTCAAGGTCTCCAGGCTCACACCTGAACCTCAGGTGGACCAGAGGGGCTGCCACGGTGGTTTAGGGGCTCAGAATCACAAGGGGGAACCTGGAAATGTTCTCTCTTGTCTCATGTGGTTCAGAGGGGTTCTGGTGGCTTTGAGCAGGGGTCCTCAAACTACGGCCCGCGGGCCACATGCACCCCGTTTGTTTTTTTAACTTCAAAATAAGATGTGGGCAGTGTGCATAGGAATTTGTTCAATTTTTTTTTTTTTTTTAAACTGTAGTCCGGCCCTCCAACGGGTCTGAGGGACAGTGAACTCGCCCCTGGTTTTAAAAGTTTAAGGACCCCTGGCTTTGAGGGTAATGATGGTGCGGCAATCTCACAAACAGAGCTGCCAGCCCACAGACAGGGCCGCAGCAGGCAGGGCTCTGGCCCTGGGAGCTCAAGCTATCCTCCACACTGGCTTCTCAACACCCTGCGCTCAGCTCGCCAGCCCAATCCTCTCCCCTCCATCCTTGGGGACAGGGGCGTGGCAACAGTAGCCAGTGGGTTCAGAGGTCACCTGTCCTTGTCTGTGGAAAGCCTGCTGTTGGGGGACTGGCTCGAAATCTTGCCTAGGCGGTGACCCTTCTGACGGGAGGCCCAGCTGCATCTGAACCCTGCCCTCTGGTCCCAGCTCTGTGCAGTGAGGAAGGCCAACCTCTGAAAGAGGGCTGCTCAGGAGAGCTTCCCAACTGGGAAGTCGTGCGGCGCTCCCTTTGGGCAGGAGGAGGGAAGCCGGGCACTCAGCCACCCCGGGGATGGTTTGTCCGTGAGCATGTGGTGGGTGGGAGCCAGTGTGCAGGAGCACTGGGGAACGGGGCACAGCACCCCGCCCGCCCCATTGTCCACACTGGCCACCCAGGCCCTCTTCCAGGCCACGAGCATTCAATTGGGTGGTGGTCAGGGAGGAGAGGCTTCAGTGGGGTGGGATTCTGGAGGCACCCATAGCTCCCGAGTCTGTACAAAGTGCGGCCCGACGTGTCCCACGTGCCGAGATGGAGGGTCAGAGGAGAGCGAGAGAGACAGAGGGAGAGACGGAGAGACAGCATCGCTCAGCAGGCATTACCTTAAGGATAATTTCTAACGTAAAGATACTAGTGAAGACGTAGTCTGCATTGCCTAGGATCTGAAAAAGAAGCACAACCGGATTAGCGGTTCAGAGAGTGCCCGCGTGGACAGGAGCATGTGTGTTAGTGGCAGGTGGCAGGCAGCAGAGAGCTGGTGCTGGCATGAGGGAAGACAAGGGAAGAGAGGGAGAGGGGTGGGGGGTGGGGGCTTTACCTTCAGAGCAATTTCAATGGTGAAAATGGCAGTAAAAACAATATCAAAATAAAACAGAATCTGCAAAACAAAAAGGAAGAGGGTTGAGGAGGGGTGGGGGAGGAGAGCAGCATGGGAGGAGCTCAGCAAAGGACCCACACTTCAAAACCCAAAACGCTGGGCCCGGGAGGCCCTCCAAGGTGAGGTGAGTCTGGACACAGGAGGCCAAGACACAAGGCCGGATTCTGAAGGCGCGAGCCCCAGGCAGCTCCGTGCGGCATGGAAAGCCCCCAGGTAGGCCAAGAAGTTTTCCACGGAGGCCTCAGCTGATACCGGGTCCGGGCAGCATCTGCTTGGATGTTTTCCTCACGAATCCAATGCATTTACAAACCCCATTGGCCCCAAGGGCGTGCTTGTCAAAGCGACTCACTCTAACTCACGGTCAACCTGTCAACGCCGACTTCCAGCGGCCCGAGAGGACAGGGTAGAACGGCCCGTGGGCTTACGAGACTGCCATTCTTGATGGGTGTAGAAAACACCAACTTTTTCCCTTGGAGTGGGCTCGTGGTTCCGAACTGCTGACCTTGCCGGTCACAGCCCAATGACTAACCACTATGCCACCTGGGCTCCTTTGTCAAAAGGATTCTCTTTTGCAGGAAGTGCAAAATGCCTAGCTCACTTGGGTGTGACTCAGTCAGCTTCTTGTTGGTGGAAATCTGTCCTGGCGGTGTCTCTTTGGAGCCTGAGAGGGAGCACCCTCCAGGGCTGGGGACTGGCTTCATCAAGATTCCAGTGATGGGTCAGACAGAGCTGGGGCCAAGGCCTGCTAGCCCTCTGGTAGCAAAGTCTGGGGACAAGCGGCGCCAGGAGCCACTAAGCCGTTTGGCATAGGTATGGTTTTAGATTGATAGGCTCTCTTGTGCTCACCTGGGGCTGTCAGATACAGAAAATGCATGTTAATTCTAATTCTAATGACATCCACCAGAGCCTTGGGTGGGTCTCCAAATTAAGTTTTCTGCACTATTGGCACTCAACCTAGGCTCTCTTCTTGCAAGGTCAACCGTATGCTTGGCACTTGCTCTCCAATGTGCCGTCTCTCCCAACTTATTAGGACTGGTCAGAATATGGTTAGAGGCTAGCAAAGGGCAGGCAAGGCCTGCCCAGTATCAGTGGGTCCCCTTTACTAAGTTTACAGGGAGCCAGGCATCCAGAGACCATTCACAGGGTAAAGAAACTCCTGACCGTTGCCAGTGATCAGGCCAGCCCTAGTTCATGCACTCTTACATGCTTCTGCTGGTCCCCAATGGGTTCTCCAAAGACCATCATCTCTAAAGAGAACGTTTACTGCACATCTGATTTTGGATTTTGAATGTTGGAATTGGGCTCCCGAGCAAACAAGAACACCAACAGCAGCAGCAGCCGCGAGCCCGGGTACATTCCCAGGGTGAGGTGCACAGAGGTGGGGGTGTGCGTACGTGGTTCCTGAAGGAGGTGTGCTGGACGGGGTCCTCGGCAGCCAGGGAAATGCTGCTGAGCAGGATGAAGAAGAGGATCAGGTTGGTGAAGATGGTGTCATTGACAATGCGGTGGCACTGGAGGCGGAACCTGCGGGCGGTGGAGGAGAGAGGGGAGAGGGACGTGTCAGCAACGACAGACAAGCAAGCAAGGGCAACTCTCTGGGCCCCAGGAGCCCTCTGTTGCTATCCATTTTGCAAAGAGTGCTTGTTGGCATGGGAGTGGCCCTCAGCCTGCGGTCTTGCATCTGGGCAACGGTGCCCTCAGCACCGCCCCGCACCCCTCTCTACAGAACTTTGCCATTTCCAGAGGGCTTCCACGGGGCAGCACATCTTTGACATTTTGCAGGGTTACCATGGAGACCTTTGGGCATCTCTGAAATTTTGAGTGCTGCTATCACATTAACAATTGACTTTTGGGGGGAGATTTCTTTTCCCTATTATTAAAAAAAAATCACTTTATGAGATCGACTTCATATTTTTATGCCCAAGGAACAACTGAGGTACCTGGAGATGTGAATGCTGATGTGGCTCATGATCTGGCTAGGTGGTGTGCTTCGGTGTACAGGATTTAAGGTGTACAGTTCACTTCCATCCCACAGCATAAGTACCAAGAACGAGAGCACTGGATGCTAAGGGTGTTGTGTATACCATCTTGTGTAATCTTAAGAATGGTCTAGAAAAGGGTGTATGGGTGTTACTATAATCTTCATTTCACAGATCAATACAGGGAAGCCCAGGTAGGAGAGAGGCTTGACCAGAAAGACAGCTGTGGAGGGAGGGAGTCAGGGCTTGAACCCAGCCCTTCAGACACTGTGGTTGACTAAGTGCTCTGGAACACAGAGGCGCTAAAGCAAGTTGCAGAAATGATGATGTGCAAGAACTGAAAAGAACCAAGAAGACCAAGTAAAATATTACATTAAAATATGCAAAGACCCAGAGTTAAAAAGATCAAGAGAGAAAGAGATAGATAAGCTCA